TTCTAACTGGGTTATATAAATTCCATGGCCAATAATACAAGTACCAAGTATCGTTTCATCAGTGGGATCTCTCAAGCTTATTTTGCTGAAATATGTTTGTTCTCTGGTCTCCCATGAGGGTGCTCAGCTTTGCTGCTCTATACGTCCCTGCTTGGATTTGGGTCCTTGGGTGGGGTGAGACCTCTTTGGTAGGGAGCCCACAAACAGCTGCTGCAATCTGGACCTCTTGCTGCCTTGGCCACCTTGTGGAGCTTCACTCCTTTTTGTCCCAGAATTCCGGTGCTTTCCTCTTCCTCTTCCTTTTCCTTGTCTCCTGTTTGCCACCTACACCTTCCTTCCCACACAGTCCTGTTCTGAATAAGTGATTTTCAAGTTAATTTACTGTCTAGCACTGGGAACCCTGCCTGAAGTTCAGAAGCTGAATCAACCATGTTTGTTGTGATGGACAGGGAATTCTGGTTAAGTAGGGATTTGCATAAACACGCTGTAGGCATCGGAGTGTAATCACAGAGTAACCAGAGAAATCAGAAACTCTCAAGTGTCTGGGAAAAAATGCTGGAGAGAGTAGGACCTTGCACATTTATTCAGGGGTCAGTAACTATTGAGCTTCTCTGCAGATTGCCCCAGGATCTGATTGCCTGAGGAAATTGTTTCAGCTGAGACAGTAAATCATCACTGCGATACTTCTGATCCTCAGGCCTTGTTAGGAGTATCCCACTGCCTATTTTCCCTCAGTCCTAATTCCTCCCTCCACTTGCTGCCTCTCTGAGAGCCACGGTGGGGGCCTTTTGCAAAGGTCATGGAAGGGGAACTTGTGACTGGATAAAAAATGCATTGAATGTGACTGTGCAGTGCCTCTAAGACAGTTCTGTGTGGCTGAGGCACTGTAGCCTGTGGGTCTGTGTTGTTAATTTACAACACAAGCAACCAAATAATGTTCTGTTTTTCAATCTGGTCTTGGAGTTGTGGCATCTGTGACAGTATAGGACATCCAACACAGCAAGGATCAGTGAGTCAGGGAGACTCCTGAGTTTTACCTTTCTGGACTTGTGAGAGCTTTCAGCATAACCTGATAGGGCTGGTGGGACATACTTAAATGTGGAAAAACTTGATGGAAGTGAAGTTAGTAAGAATTATTTAACTCTGGGCAGAGATAAGAGGCTTTTTAGCACATGCTAATGAGTGGAAGAGGTGAGGCAGAAGTGATAATGGATTTCTAAAGTTAGTCTATTAAAAGGACGAGCAAAGAATAATCTTTCTTTTTTCTCAGTTTTAGGTATTTCAGCACAAGGCAGAGCAGACAGTTGTGTGATTGTTCCAGCCACCCAAATACATCAGCTGTGTGTGCTGGCACAGCGCTGTGCTAAAGCAGCTCTCTAGCTTCTGGCTCACAGCTGGCACTCATTCATCCTGCTTGAAGCACAAGCAGAGTAAATGAGCATCTGTTTGCCCTCGACATTGTAGACATACCCTCTGGCTTCAGTCTTATGGATAAACAAAGAGTGGGTTTGGGTTTTTTAAGAAATATTTTTAATTCTTACTATATTTGTCTTTTTATCAGAAAAAACAATAGAGCAGCTGGAAGATTTCTGTGCAAAAGGCGATATGATTGAGTTCCAAAGAATGAGGATTCTTATTCTAGCTGACAAGGACTCAGTGGCAACTTATTTTTCAATTATTTTTCAACTTTTTGTTATCTCATTTCTGAAATTTTTGCCATCCCAATGAATCATTGTGACTGTGGGTAAGGAGAGCCTATGCTGAAAGTTTTGCTTGCCACTTTTTTAGCATTGCCTATGGAATCTTCTGGAAAAGTCTTCCAGACAGGAAGTAACAAATCTTCTTTTCTAACATAGCATAAAAAACCCCAACAATCATCCAAAAAGCCTTTTAATTTATGAAAATAAGGTGGAAATGGGCCATATTAAGCAGAAGAAATTATTTTGTGTGTTTGTGGTAGCTGAAGAAAAAGTACATACACTGAGAATTTGAGTCTCATTGGACATCAAGATTGTAATACATGGTCAAGGATCTTTTCTGTGTCATCCAGATCTGAGGACTTAGCTGGATATGTATTTATGGACTTTATATTACTATTAATAAACAGGTATTAATGGATTTAGCATTATATATGATTATATAGATATACCCTTTGTACTATACTTGTTCTTATTCTATGCTAAAGCATTTCATTATTTTTTTATTAATGACTTAGCTACAGTATTCTAGACAGGTCCTGATATCCTCAGACTTTTCATTACACATTGTACTACTTCAGCCTGAAGTGGTTTCTTTCAGGCTCACGACTTCATGTTGCTCACTCTTTAAGTAAGCTCCTTCACTCCTGCCCTTTCTGGGTTTAGTTATCACTCAACTTTTCAAAGGTTTACCCTGCCAGATTGAAAATGAAATACCCACACCACAAGCACTAACGATTCACTAAGCAAAAGCATCGCGTTTGGATGCCTGTTCTCTGATTTCCAGGAGGTGGTTAGAGATGTCTTAACGTGCTTAGGAGTTTGGAGTCCACTATTGACACTGCTGGTCATTAGCTACCATGGGGAAATCTTTATTCACTGAAGTACTCGGTGGATAAAATATTTTCTCTTCCTCTTAAATAAATAAATAATGTGTAATTTGCTGACACACACTATTTGCTTAAAACAGGCGCTAGGCCTTGGGGAGATATTTATGATACAGGCTAGATTGACTTTAGCAAGCAGCAGCTGGTGCTTTCACACTGCTCGGTGTTGGAATGATCTTCTGTACTGCAAGGTAGAGAGGCAGAAAATGCAGCTGCATCGTTCTGGAGCTAATTTTAAAAAAAGCAATGAGCTGGTAATTACCACTTTTCCCAGCTGGTCTATATGAGGGTAAAAGGTTTAATCATAGATGGAGAATGGAAGAGGAAAATACTAAGCAGGCTACAAACCAGTGTTAATAAACATCCCTCCTGGAGATACTTAGAAATTTAAGCTCTTGTTGGCTGGGAGGAGCTGGAAATGAAGATTATCTCCAAAAGGTTATCTGACAGTCCTTGGGGTTACGGCCTTTGGATATGAGTTTCCTCAGGAAGGATCTGTGATGAGGGTTTCATGTGAGCTCATCCGACTCTGTGTGATCTTCCCAGGCCTCAGGGAGGAAACTGAACTCAGCTCGTTCCAAAAGGTACAAAATTAAGGGGATTTTCTATGGAGTTTTTTCAGTCAACATCTCATTTCTGCTTGATTCATACAAATAATTTACATGCTCGATTAATGCAACAAAATATAAATATTTATGCACCCATTTAGCTAATGTTTGGCTCTATTTATAAATATGTGCATCTTGCAAGAGCTTCTCTTTGACAACTAAATAAAGTGAATGCCTGTTTATTAAATTAACAGTGCTTCATTAACTCTTCCAAAATACCAAATCTTTGGTAATAACTAAACCAAAAAGTGACAATCGAGTAGGTTTGGTGGAAATAACTTAAATATTTAAACTTCAGGAGAACAAGAAGCTGCTGTTTCTTGGTTGGTGGGGGAAAAGAGGATAAATCTGTTTGTTTTTAACATTAATTTCATTTTTTAAACTCTATTGTTATTGCAGTGACATGGTAATAGGAGAGAAGAGCAGAAGACCCTAAAACTAGCACATTAATATTTGCTGACTTATCTGATATGACCAACAGGAAATTGTGTCAGACCCAGGTCTAGTTCAAGGTTTGATTTTTGCAAATCAGAACCCAGTCTATGAATTCTGATGAATGAGATATTTGGTAGTTCTGCCTGTAAGAAAATAAGAAAGTTTTTGTGGGCTTTTAAACTAATGCTTTTTAATATGCCCTTTGCATACTTAGTTTACCATATAATCAGTCTCTTGATTGACTTTGCTGATGGCCTATCAATCTAAACTGGCTGGATTTGACACCTAGGTACTGAATGATAAAAGGATATTTTGCTCTTGTTAAGAAACAATAATTTGTTAAGTATGATACAACAAAATGGATTTAAATCACTTGAAATCACGTTTCATCTCATCTTTTGATTGCTCAGAGTCTGGCAATTTATATTTGCTTTGCTAACATTTTTCATTTGTTATAATAATAACTTATTTCTCAGTTAAATTTCCTGAGGGTAAGATCTTGAAGTAGGATTCCATGATGTTAAGTGATGAATGGATATAAACTTGAAAAGACAGCTCCTGTCCCAAGTCTTGCAATTGAATTAGGTCAGAGGATGTCAAAAATGAGCTGGTCTCTGTGAGAGGGCTGGGCAACTTCTAGGGTTTGGGGGTCACGTTTATTCCTGGCTGTGTGCAGAGACCAAGCCAATACAACACATTTATATAGTGCTGGGTTGAGTTAAGTGTCTTGGTTTGTGGTATGAGTTCTCTTTTCATGCGTGATTTTATGTGTGCAGAGTCCATTCAGTTAATTAAAAGATTGACTTAGTCATATGCAGCCACTGAACCATAGGTAAAACCTTTGAAGTGTGAATTCTATGCAAGGAGAAAGATATTTTTAAATATTTGTTTCATCCAAAATATTTCTTGGTTGCTGTCACCTGTTGTATCGAAATGGATCTATGCTTGGTTTTGCCTTCCCTTCAAAGTCCATCAAGCAAATAGTCTTTAAAGTCAGCTAGGGGAAAAAAATTAATTCTCTCTTATATCAGGTATGTAACAGCTGAGTACGTGGAAAAACACTTTCCAGTGGTTTTGTCAGCCAAAAGGAATTGAAAGTGCCTTTTTTTGGGTGCTCTACGAGAGAGAAATGTGCTAATAGAATGGCAGCTGGTTAATAGCGCAGCAGATGAAAACTGGGCCATGACAGCAAAGGTGGAAAGGTCAGAAAAGAAAGAGAGAAAATTATTTCATTTGGAGGTGAGGGTCATCTGAAATAAGTGATTTCTCATTTAAAAGGCCAGCGAGGAGAAAATTGATGAATGTTAACATGTTTCTGTATTGTTTTATTTCATTCTTTTTTCTTTTCTCATTTGTAATGCTTACGCATTCAGGAAGTTGAGGTAGGTTTTTCACTTTTAACTTGTAAATATCAATGGATTGAACAGAAGTATTTACAACGTATCATAATTCATTCTTTACTTTGAACTCTCACGATCAACTGTTAATGTTGTTATAAATGAAATGTATTGATACGTGTTAATTGTTAATGTGTTAATGCTCATTTATTAACGTGTTAATATTAAAATGACCTAAGTTTCATACATTAGAGCAGGCATAAGGTATTTTAAGCATATTAGTACCTGTCCTAGTAGAAAGCTCAGAAATGCATGGATTTCTGTGCAGTCATTTTTGTCGAGGTGTTTTATTGAATGGGAATGTTAAATCTCTTTAATCAAGCTGATTGTACTTTATATATATATATATATATAATGATATATGCCTGGAAATCAGTGTCATGACTAGGCACTGTACATTGTTATATCAGTGTGCTGTTTTTCTGTTGGAGGAAGTTGCAGTGAAATGATGGTGTTTGGAGATGTTAGTAGTTCCTCCTCCAAACAAAAATCATTTCAGGTTAATGTATAAATTTCAGCACCTTGCAGAGTATTAGCATGAAGCCCTGTGCATTTTTCAAGTCATAGCTTTATGTGGAATTTAAATGACACATAGATTTTCTGCTCAGCCATATCTATGGGGCGAATTCTACCTTTATGGTACCATCACCATGCAGTTACAGTTCTTGCTGGTATCACTGCCAAAGTGAAGCTCTACTGCTGTATTTCCTGTTGTCCAACTGGCATAAGTTATTTCAACTGCTATTGACCGTATTACTCTAATGTATGTGTAGTCATTATTTACTCCTATAAATAATGAGTTTTATATATTGAAAATCTCAAAGGTTTTCTCTATTCTACTTTTTAAGGTCTTTTCCATCTTTTTTCTTGTGTATTTTCCAATGTTATCACACCATAGTTTCAGGCATACTCTAAAATAAATATAGTTTCAATTTTCAAAAAGGAATACTAAAAAGGTCTGCATAAAGAAGAAAAAGAATAGGTTTATAGAAGAGATGGTGTGGTTTATATTTTTTTTTCTGAGGAAGGTGAATTTTCTGTAAAATATTCCTTTGACACTGAAATTGAGATAAACCCCCTTTCCAAGCCTTATTTCAAAACTGGTTCCATATGCCAACAGCATAAGAAATATTTCTTGGGATTTGAATTATTTAACAGTTTCTGATGCTGCAAACCCAGCAGCAAAGCAACACCTAGGAAAAGATTTAAGCAGGCAAAAAAAAAAAAAATATTGTTGCTGGAAAAAAATGATTCTGCTCAAAAAGCTTAAAACCCAACACATTCTAAAAAGTGATTTATGCTTGGTGAATTTACCAGTACATCATAATCAATTACAACGCGTTGTAGAACAGTGAGGGGGTTTTTGTATTAACAAAACTGTGGAATTGAAAGGCAAGTCTGTGATTCTATTTTTGGTACTTCTGAAGAAAAAGTATAGATACTTTTGATGTATCTGAAATAAATTATGAATAATAATCTTTGTTGTTATTGTGGAACATCGTCAATGTCCACGAAGTCAGTATAGACACTGAGCATGAATATACTTGAAGAAAGGAAGTACATTTTCTCCTGATGGTCCTGCAGAATCACATCCAGCCCTTGCCTGCCCCAGAGCAGAGAAAGAGCTGGGTGGCAGCCCACAGCTCTCCATCCTGTAAGCATTAGTTTTTCTGCTTATCAATCCAGCCATGAGGCTCAGAAAGGAATGTGCTGCCCTGAGGTGCATCTCCTGGTGTTCAGTGAGGGCATGGAGAGTCCCAATTCTTCCCATAACAGCCTGTGGGCTGTTCTGAACCCAGAAAGTAGGACATGCTGGCTTCCACGTCTCCAAAATGTTCCAGGTTAGGGTGACGGGATAGAATGAGGGCATGTGAAATTCAGTATACTGGAGATATACGGTAAAGAAAGCCCTATGGAAGACATAATTTACATGTCTTATTCACACTGATGGGTTTTCAGTTACCCTCCTGATAGGAAAAAGAAATCTAAGTGTCATTCTGGACAGCTTGATGAAGACATCTTTTCAGTGGCAGCCCTCAGGAAATGAATACAGAATACCAGATATATTAAAAAGGAAATAAGGATTAATATGCAGGAAAAAATTCAGATTTGTAGAAATCTTCCATGCTTCCACACTTCGAATACATTATTCTGTTGTTATGTTGCCTCAAAGAGGACACAAGTGAGATATACAGAATATGCTGGAACTAAATATAACAGTTGGGCTTGAATCCCAGTTCTTCAGGACTAGGGTTGATGGCACTCTGAAGTGAGGGAAATTTTGCCTTCAGGTGAATATTTGCTAAGTACATAGAATCCAAACTGATCCGACACACGGAAGAGGTTTCCATTCTTTCTGCAGAGAGGCTTGTTTGCAACAGAATAATCATCTGGCCAGGCACTCGTGACAGTTCCTACCTCCTCCAATTTAAATTCCGAGCGGAATTATATAAAACAGAACCCCAAGACTCTTGGCAGAATAATATCTTCACATCAGATCTAAGAAGATTTTAAAAATATAATAGTGGGAACAGTGACAAAAGTATTCACTGCAAATGCTCCTAGATGTTATTGTATTTTAAGTATAATATTGTACTTTAAGTGTAATGTTTATAATATTATTGCTGTTTTTCTGTACATTCACAGTGGTGTGATTTATACATATCCAAATGAATATAAACATTTTTGGATTTACTTTGCTGACCTTTCACCGCACCAGGATGGTGTGGATCATCTTACATTATCTGGACAATATATTGTTATCTTTATTATCAGAAGTTGTAGACTGATATGAAATAATACAGATTTATCAGAAAATATTTAATAACAAGCATACTTTGAAAAGCAATTCAGAAGAAAAATTTGAGGTGCTGAATCAAAGGAATTTCTTATTCTTTAATTTCTAACCTGCATTTACTAATGCTTAGGACACAACCTGCTGATAGTTTTATGTGATTTGAGCTAAATATGTTACGGTCAAAAGATGAGTAGATTAATTTCTAGTTTAGTTATGTTATATTGTACTGAAAAGATTGATTATCTTTTTCCTGAGTTTCCTTTTTTTTTTCCTTCCCATTTAGGATGATTATTTCAGAAACTGGAATCCGAACAAGCCTTTTGATCAAGGTAATGTTAGTGCACAGTTTGTGGTTGTCTTCTGCTATTTTGTGATATCCTCATATACTTTATGCCTTCCTCTGTCTGTCCCATGCATTAGTGAAGAGCTATAATCATACTTACATCACATTCCCAATTTACAGCTTGAGTTGCTTTATGTCTAAGGGTTTGACTCATCTCTGTATTTTTCAGCCACATTTTTAAATCCCCATCCATTCCAGTTTATATTCAATGATTATATATATGCTTAGAAAGGTTGTCTGTAACCATGAATCTCAGTCCAACATGCAATTTAGAACAGGTATCTTCATGTACGTTTTCTTTCATGTTAAAAACTTTGCTAAACAAATGTCATAAATGTAGTTACTGCATTTCTTAACACTCAAGGGGCCAATTCTTTGCAGTCAGATGTAATGTATAAGTTTTACGACTGGTTTTCAAAAGAAATGTGTGCGTATATGCTGCTGATTCAGATGAAGACTCTGTAAATGACATTTTGCACTTTATCTTGGTGAGTTGCTAAGTTATGGCGGTAGTTCAACAATTTCCAGGCCAATCACCAAAGGATAGGAAAAAAACCCAATAAAATATATTCTAACTGTTGTGTCCAGGATAGCACTGGAAACACAGACATGCCAGGAAAAAGAACTTGCTATTGACAAGTTAAAAGAGATCTCGGGTACCAACTCCATATCAAGCATTCTCTGCTTCGTGTTCCTCACTAGCAACAAACTTTTCAGATGGGATGGTAAGAGGCATTAATTGTAGATACCGTATATGAATGTGGCTGGAAACACCGGTAGCCCTGACACTCCCAGGTGTGATGGGTTGTGTTTGATAGCTAATGTCACTTCAGTAAAAACCACTGTACGCAAAGAAATCTCAGCAGATTTCTGATCCTCTGGAAGATGGATACAAAAGGAGTGCAAGCTGATAGCATGCCATAATTTTGTCCTTAGAATCAGAATATTGTATTTGTTATATTTGTCACTGACACGGAGATTCTATAACAGCCCATACCAGAGCAACCTCAAAAAGCATAATATGAAACCATTTCAGTCTTATATTTCATTACTTCTTAAAGCTTTCTAGAATGTATTTTCTTCAGGACAAATATTAACAATTACATTTTGCACAGCTTCTTTTGATTTGGTAGAGCCAGTTATCAGCTGTTTGATTTGTGGAGGATAACAACAGACAATACACAGTGCGGGTCGCTTGGCTTCTCTGTTTGCCTTTTGACAGCTTCTCATTTTTCCTGTTTGTAATGTTCAGTGAAGCTCATATAACTCCTGCTTGAGAACACATGAGGTGAGGATATTACAGCTGTAAAATCACAGGTAGATAGGGTTTTTTTTTCTATTGTTTAAGGCTTTTTTAGGATCCTGGATTTGTTTGACTCGCTTTGGTTTGTTATTGGACATCATGCCTCTTAAATTGTGTAATGGCAGTGTCCGGGAATTTTCTCCATAATGGAATTCTATACGTTTCAATCTACTTCTGCTCTTACATTTGTAGGGTTTTTTAACAGATATTATCCTAAAGTCATATAGAAAGGAATTATTGCATACACAGTAACTACAATACAAGTTAATTTCAGTCTTTTAGATCCATTGCACAGTCCATCTCTCTTTTGGATCCTGTGTTCAAAGTTGAGTGGCATTCCAGTGGAGTGTGAGACTTCCTTTGCCCTTCAGAATGTGAAGTGGCTATTTGGATATATCATTGTTGTGATTTTATGTTGAGAAGAGGTATTCCTGCAAGGAAATTGCTTAGGCAAATTATTGAGCAGGCAGGTAGATTTTTAAATTTTTTCTTTTTTTTTTTTTTTTTTAAAAAAAAGGGTTCATGGTGAAACAGTCACAGTGTGGTACACAGAGGGAAACAAGAAATTGGAAATTACATGGCCTTCTCTAGACCCTCTCCAGGCATGACTTAATTCTGGTGTCGTGGGGATGTAGCCAGTCATAATGGTTATAGAATAGTAGATGATATCAATGTTGCATAATTGTAGGAGGTGCCCAATAGTTTAGTTACTATTTTTTTAATAACTGCTTGAAAAAATAATTCATGTTACAGAAAAACATTTTTATGCCTCTGGAAATCAAATAGTATGCAATTATACTTGTGAATCATATCACAAATGAGAAGAAAGAGTGAATCACTTAAGAAGGAGAAAGAAAGGTGTGAACAGATGAATGAAGGGGTAACTAGATAAGTGACAGGCCGGTGGAGGAGAGGAAACCCCAAGGCTTTCTTTATTTGCTTTCGATTGGAGCTTTGGCAGTGATTTATTTTATGAACAGGAGTCCTAAGAGGGAGCAGCTTTCCTAATCAGACATTTAACTCTTCAAAATTAGTAAAGTGTTTATACCCATTGGGAGTCTCTGGAGGTCCTTTTGAAAATTTCACTTTACATCTATTTTTATATTTCTTTGCCAAACATGTTCTTTGTATTGTCTGTAGGTAGCTCGCAGGAATATCATTGGGGGCTTATACATGTTAGACCTGAAAAGTGTAGATTCTTTGTCTTTATGGAAATGGCACTTCAGTGTGAAAGGAAAGTGAAAGATGATGTTTTTGTCAAGGCATAAATCCACCGAGAGATTTTCAAAGGCAGTTGAGGGATTTAGGATTACAAATCCTATTGACTTCAAATGGAACTTATGCTCCTACCACTTTCAGAGGCCTTGTGACCCTCTGTCTTCCCAAGAGGAAAAACAAAAAGGCAAATCCTGGCAAAATATTGCAAAAAGATTTTTGAACTGACATGCTTTAAAACTGTCTTGTTCATTTTGTTACTGAGATGTCTGACTCTGGGCAAGAACACAAATCGTTTTACAGAATCTAAAATCACATGTGGATACCTTGAAGCGATACAAAAACTCTTTACATCTGTTAAAGATTACTGTCTCTTTACAAAGAAAAGGATCATTTCTCTTTCACTGTAAAATTTCTCCTAGACTATGGATAGTCTGTTGTTGGAAGGCAGAGTGGAGACTAGGTGATGCAGTCTCAGAGTGATACTCTGCCTTGCATGGAGATCTGTGTGCTGCTTTTGTCTCATTTAAATCTTACAAATGGATTTTATTTGGCCGATAAGTCATTCTTTTTGACAAAGAGGTCACTACTCTTGGCCACAGTAAAATTTGCCCTGACTAAAGGGTTAAAATAGGCACTCATATCTTTCTAAAGAGATTTCTTACACAAAAAAGTTATATTAGAAAAATGTTGCTTAGTTTAGTTACATAGACATGGAGCATGTGAGTCTTTAGCCCCTGACCCCTACGTTGTTGTCACCCACAAAATGAAAAGTAGAGAAATTGCATCATGTTTCTGCTTTGGGCCCTATGAATCAGATTCCGACAAGACTAATCCTCAGTTTATATATACATATAGGTATATATATGCGGATAAATGTATGCATACTATATAAATGAGTCTATATAGAGAGTACCATTTAAATATTGAGTGCGAAGACAAAGGAAGGAAGGAATGCTTTCTGTCTCTTTCCCAAATGTTTTCCACCACAGGTTTAATTTCAGTCATTTTCCAAGCAGAGAAAAACAAATAGAAGAATTTGTCCTAGACTCTTTATGTGGTGCAAAATGCAAGAAAATTGCTTAATCTGTCTTTACTCTTTCCTTCTCCATTCTGCCTGCCTAGACTTTTTTTTTCAATGTTATTCCTTTTGGCATTTGGGTGTTTAAGTGCTCCCTAGCATTGGAGATAGAAAAGTTTTTATTTTGTATCCTTTGGGGTTCTTGTATCCACAGAGCCTGTGCAGATCCTGCAGTAAGGAGCTCTAGCTCACCCCTGTGAACTCAGTAGCAGCTCTGTGCTCTCACCACACAATTGTTATTTTGAGAGATATCCCAAAGGCAAACGTTAACCTCGCAACACCTAGGGTCTTCCTGCAGTGATTGGAGAGAAGAAACTTCTGCAGTGGATCAATGAAAACAGCCAGCTGCCTCCCTCCCTGGCTTATGTGGGAAATCTGAGTCTAAAAACACTAAGCTAAAGCACACTTGTGAGAACATCAACCCTTTGGGACAGGCCTACAGTTTTTTATGTTTTAAATTTATTTCTAGACTCTAAAATTAAAATAATCTTTGACTATTCTAATTGTGAAGCCCTTATATGGAAGCCAGGCTGTCAACGGACCATAAAGGAACTGGAAGGGCAGGGTTTTGAAGTAACTGAAGGTGGCCTGTACCCGCCAGAAGTGATCTCACAAAGGCAGCTGGAGGATTTAATGTGTTTAGCAGATTTAGTCAGCGGTTTTGCAAACCAGCAGAGTTCTGCTTCTAGGCTTGTACTTCGTTTGTGTCTTTTGCAGAAGAGTCTGCTGGGTCCAACCACGTCTATATTCTTTTCCAAAAGAAAAGAATCGCATTGAATGATTTAATTATGCATTTTAAAAACAATAGCAGTGTAATCAAGCTGCCTGCTTTCTACTTGTAATTTGGAGAGAAATACCTGCATTTGTGTCTCAAGAAAAGAAATACCTTGTTTTGTAAAAAAGCATCCATGACTTTCACTAAAACCACCCCTGAAGAGTCACATGAGGTATCTTTGCATAACATGCCTTTTCAAGGGAAGTCGACTTCAATGGTTCAGGTGCATCTTGAAGGGTGCTTCAGTGATCAGAATATATTTTTAGCTTAGCTACCAGCCCAGCTTTTTATTCATCTTGAACCCAGGAGGAACCAATACAAAGGTAAGCATCTTACCGACTGAGCCAAGCTAAGGAGGTGTTTGGACTGTGGAAGGCAGGAGAGTGAACAGCCTGAAAATGATTGCTAGTCATGAATATTGAACTCAGTTCTGTCAGAGTTGCAGAAGCCAGAAAGCAGAAGAGTGGAAGGGGCAGGTTAGTCAGGGTTTTAAAATATGAATCAAAGGGTTTGGTGGTTTTTTTTTTCTGACAAGGTCATTTGAGAGTTCTTAAGAAGCTTGACAAGCTGACTTGACATACTTTCTTAGTGTTCTCCATGTGCATGGGAGAA